TCCTTGGGTAATTTTTGTGCCCTTGCCCAACCTCCCACAAAAAAACACAAAACCATGTGGGGGAAAAAAGTTCTATGAATAAAAGCAAACAGTATCATCTATCTTTCTAAATGCTAACTAAATGTTTGTCTACGGGCATCAAGGGTTAGTATATTTGATCAGCCGCTCAAGAACACAGGCTGCACTGTGGGCTACAGACCAAGAGAAAGAGACCAACCAAGGGAATAAAATGCAGCACTTACGAACAAAATGTAAAAAACTAAAAATGTAATAACAGGCTCATAGAATATTAACAACATTTCCTTAGGTAAGACTGAAATAGTAAATTCAGAGCACAGAATAATAAAAATTAAGGCTGTTATTTAGGTTTTTTAAAACCAAAAGAAAGTAAACAGAAGCCACTTGTATCTGTGTGAAACTGTTTATCTGCAGAGACTACCCCATACATCCCACATAAAAATCAAACTTCCTTTTGTTTGCAGCACAAAAATACAGAGATAAAACTTTATACAAGCAAATCTTTCTCAGCTTCTTTCTAATCTTTATTTCAACCCCAGTGTATGAATGTTATGCAATGTAAGTTTCCAGAATAGATAAATGCTTAAAAAATCCTTTAAAATATTTATAAAATATATTTTTAGAAAGTCAAAAGCACGTTCTCATAGTGTATCTAAAGTTTGTTTCAATTTATGTACCTGTACCCTGAAGGCTATTTAGAAAACAGTCCCTCAGTTAAAGTCAAAACAAAGTCAAACTGGTGGAATCTGGGGTGTAGCAGCACATGTGCTAATGAACAATGAAAGCAGCTCTACAGGGGAGCAGCAGCTCAGGGGGTACCTGTGGAGAGCGCAGGGGAGGGGGTGCTTCTGGGCCGAGTCTACCGGGCCGCAGTCATTCAATCACCTCCTGCTCCCACCCGGAGGCTGCAATCTCAGGTGAGGGTCTGACCAGCTCTCATCCACGAAGACCCTTTTAAAGCCTTTTTTGAACAAAGGTGTACAGATTAACCAATTAATCAATCTTTAATTAAAATGGTATGTTCCATTTTATATATCCCGGCACCACGGGGCCAACGGCTGTGCCCAAGGCTGACGTTCAGCAGCTGACAGCAAGCGCCCGCGCCCCCTTCCCTGAGCCAGCAGGCCCGGGGTGCCCCCTGCGCCAGCCACCGCTGCGCAGTCCTCTCCTCTCGCTTCCCCCCACTGTGCCCAATGTGGTCGCCCTAACAGCACCACATGCTCCCTGCGACGACGACTCACAAATCCTTATCCCCAGCCAGGCCTCTCCCTGAGTTCCAGATCCTCAGCTCTCGTTCCCTGATTCTCCACGGACACCTCAAACATAACAAAATCAACTCAACGCCCAGCTCACCGTACACCCCACATTCCCGGAAAAGACACCACCATATATGCTGCCCAATGTGACCCGAGCATCTATCCTAACAGCCACCCCCACTTCCCCAAATCTGGCAGCTCCCCTCCTCATCCTCCAAAGCCAACCCACCATGAAAGCCTGACCTGACGGCCCTAATTAGCTCCGGTATTGGAACCCCCTAATTAGCTCCGGTATCGGAACCCCCATCCATCCTCTCTTCTACCTCCCTGCCCGTCCGCTGAGCCACGCAACACACCTCGAGTGGGACGCGGTTCCCAACGCCTCCCCAAAGCCCTCCTCGATTTCCAGCTTACGAATGTTCAGCAGCTCTTACCTGTCCACGCAAACACATGCAGTCCAGGTACGTACTGACCATCCACCACTGCTGCATCTTTCCACAGACCTTCTGGCTCACGGTTTCTTCCCTACTCACTGCGCCTGCCCCCTTCAAAGCACAGACTGAATGAGTTACACTCTCTGGCATCACCCTCAATCTCCGTGACCTTCTCTTTCTATGGGACTCATCAGGAAAAAAATCCAAACCCCAGCTGAATCCACCTCTCCACCTTTTAAAATGCATGTGCCCCAGAGCTGGAGAAAAAGCCCACGACGATGCTGGCTTGTCTCCCTTCAGATTTATAACTGCTAACCAGAAGCAAGCTGCGGGCACTGGCAGGAGACCCGCATACATTACCCTGGTTAAAATGTAATGTCTGCTTTACATTTTCTCTCCACCCTCAATTTTTCACACCTCTGTCAGTGGACCTGCTTCATTCGTCTCTGAAACACAGGAACAATTCTGCGCCTCTCCCTTCTCAAAGACTCTGCTCCCGCAATGCCGTCGCCTCTCTTACCTTACTGGTCTCTCCTTCTAGATCATTCCTGCCATCATTCCAGCATGCTAGAACACCCCCCGTAGTTTTAAAGTCTCTCTTGACCCTAATCCCCCTAAAACAGCCACCCTGTTTTCCAGTTCCCACAGTATCTCAGAGTTTTCCCATTTCTGTTACCTGCCCCGTCGCTCTACGATTTCGGGTTAGGACGCCAGAATCACCTTTGTGCACTTTCACCCTTCCCCGTCTGCAGGACGACGCTGGAGGCTCTCCTGTAAGGACGGGGTGCGCACCTCCTCTCTGCTGTTTCCCCGCCACCCCTGGCCCAGTCTCTTCGGGCCGCATCGCAATAACCGGGGCAGCTCTCCCACAGCCCCGTGACGGCAGCCTCTCTTGCTAATCCGGTCCGCACCGCCCTCCCCGGCCCAGCCTGCCTGATGCGACGTCCCCACGCTCTGCTTCTCTCTGCTCGTCACCCACATGGCTTCCGGTAACTGACTACCAGGCGTAAGTGTGCTCCCTGCGTGATGATGAGGTCATTTCCCCATCTGGTCCCATCCTGCGCTCCACCTTTGCTTCCCATGAACTAGCAACATAAAACCTTGCTGGTTTACACTCGTTTCCCCAGCATCTTACATGTAAGTCACGCAAATCCCACTTCTACATTTTATTCTTCTGTTCGCATTGTTCCCCTTCCTGGAATCCATCACTATCCAAATTCTAAATTGTTCAGACTGCATCTCTTCCGTGGTACCTTAGTATGTAATTCCAGGTCACATTTTTTTGGCCTTAAGCTCCTAGAGCATTCAAAGTCTTCACTGCTATTAATGGCTGAACTTATACACAGTACCCTATTCTCCATGAATTCTTTCATATGCAATGCATACTTGAAAAAAAGTAGAGCTTTTTCTTTGAAATTGTTTCTCAGGAAAGGGAAATCTCCTAATACTGACTTCTTACAGAACCTCAAATACTGCAGGGTGCTTTATTTTAAAAAACCAAGTACTATACGTAGAAGATACATTAACCTTAAGTGACCTCGACCAATCCTAATTCTGGATTATATAGAGGCCATCTGACAGAATCTGTTAACAAGGGGGAAAAAAAAAGGCACAGAAATTTAATCAGCTACAATAATTATTCCTGACAGAATGATCTCAAAATTGGAAGTGCTGTATCTCGTAAACAGCTTTTTTAGAATCACTTTAAAATCAATAGACTTAGTCTCCACGTTGTCAAGATCATAAATATACACCTAACTAATTAAAAGTGCTACAGTCCTAGTTTTATGTGGAAAGATACTGTGTTTTAGAACAAAACTTCCTGTGGTAACATGGATTCAGAATCTGCTGCGTCTCAACAATTAGATGGTGTCGAAGACGAGGTGGCTCAGAGACAGGGCCAAAGGCGGCCTAAGCCAAGACAGTGAAGTGGATGCATCTGAAACATTTAAATACACTATAATGAAATGTAAGAATGGCAATAAGCAAACATCTAAATTGTTGTACTATTTTATATAATGTGGTCTTAAATATGTGTAACTAAATTAATTATTTCAATTGACATTTGGCCACTGCATCTACATCCCTGAAAGTTATATACGGAAGTTGGCAAAATCCCTTTTTGGCAGGAAATGGGAGTGGGAACAGCCATGAGGCAATAAAAATGACTTAGTTAACTGACTGTGTTGTCTCAAGTCAGAGGTGACTGAAAAGACTTTCCAGGGTTACTCCTAGGCTTGTTAGTGACCCGCTGTGTGGAGCTCGGCTTTCCAATTTTCAAATTCAAGGACTAGACTAAATGTTATCTAAGACTCTCTGTGGTTCTAAAATTTTACATCTATTGTTTTCTACTATATTCTCTTTTAATGATTTAGCAGCACTGCTAAGTACAAAGAGATGCTACTTTAGAGGCCATTATAAAATTTCTTCTTTATTGCCATTTAACATGACTTGGAAACTTAATGCCATTCAACTTCAGTCTACTCTAGAGCCCTTATGAGTTTGATTTTGGACCTTGAAAATCCTTGGTATTCCATTTCAGAATGGCATCATTTTAGAGATAAAAGGTATATTTAAGTGTCTCTTCAGTCCTTTTTCCCCAAGAGGAACCTGGAGCAGAGGGAGTTCAAGGACCAGCTGAGACCCAAGCCCAGGCCTCACCCCTCTGTGAATTCTGCCATGGCACCAAGCTCAGAGTATGGCACTTGTGATTACTGTAGTTATCAATTATAGTTGCAAGTCCTCAACCTTTTCTCTAGGTTTTATGCATGAATGTACAAAAGTGATGAGCCGTATTAGTATATTTTTCTTATTTCCATGTGATTCCTGACTTCATGGCAAAACCAACCTAAGCCTTCCATCATTACCGCACAATTCTTCCCAACTCGTCTGAAGAGAGAGACTTTCCTGCCAGATGAGCTGCATTTCTAATTAGCACTCTCCTCATGGAGCATCTTCCCGTGGTAAATCAAGCAGAATGGACCAGGGGACAACAGATGCTGATCTCAAGCACACCGCTTGTGAAAGCTCCATTCCGCAGAGGTGACCTAGGCAAGCTGGCACCAGGTACCCTGCTCACACCACCACAGCATTACCGTCCCACGGCTTCCAGGAAACACACGCACACAAGCGCACGCCCCATCACATCAGCACCTGGCCAACTTTATGCATCCTGTCCGGGATGACAAAAGCTATCAACCTCCGGGAGCTTGTCGTGGCCTTTTCAAGCTCAAATACTGTCACTATAGCGTTCCACAACGCTAAGCTGACGACTGAGAAAATCAGTACTTACCTTGAATCCTCTTTAAAGCGGCAAAGCACATATCCTTCCTCGGAAACTCAAAGGGATTGTTGCAGGTCCGAACGGTGACACACTCGCACTTCCCATTGATTATATTGCAGCCAAAGACGAGGTTTTCTTTACAGGGTTCAAAACCAAGCAGCTGGTCATCGTCCCAGTTCTCATCTGCAAAACAATTACAAACCACATGATGTCTGCTTGTTAGCTTCCTTCGAAGGAAGGCCTGCTGGAAAGCAAAAATGTGTAAGGATGTCAAGATTAACATCTGATTTTCACACCTCAATTTACGGAAGGCAGTTTGGCTGCAATTTTACGAATGAACAAAACCTAACCTCTGAAGGAGACTGAAATATAGTCGCACAAGTAGACAAAGGTTTGTGGTAAAAAACCACTATTTCTCTTATGTGTTATCATAATAACAACTGAGATTCCTTTAAGATTTTTCATTTTCAACACAGATTCCTGGATTTTTCCCATGTTCAGTTCAAATTATAGGGGTCACGTTAGTCAATCTACAAAATTATTCCCCAAAAGCCCTCAATTTCTTACTCTGTCTGGTAGAGACCAACTTTGGGTTTTAAATGGCTTTGAAACTTAACACCAAGGCAGCTAATAAACATTAAAAAACCAGAAACCAGCAAGAGGATACAATGGCCGAGATTCCCTCCAGTACATTTCAGTAAAGATGTTAACATCCATCACAAATCACAACCAAAGCCCCAAACAACAATAAAACAAAGGACTACAGCCTGGTGAGATGCTGAGGCAGTCAAATTCTGAACCCAAGACCAAATCAGCGCCCTGGTCATGGAATGGAATAGACTAGAGAGAGCAGGCCATTAAAACCAGCTTTCACGGGACCCAGATCACACGAATGACACAAAAATGACAGACCATAGACAGGCTCAATCCTTAATATTCCTCAGAGTTGAAACACCTCCTATAGGAAACCAGATTACTTCTCTATGAATCTCTGGGACATTACGTGGGGTTTTTTCCCCTCTTAACGTTATCTTTATAATAGATACCTTATCTTACCTTAACTGGGTACTGGCTGTTAAATAACATGTTACTGATACCGTATCTGAAGAGAATTTTTTAAAGTGCTTGAATTTAAGATACCTTAAACCTGCTGCTCAAACAAAGGCAGGCAGAAAGCCATCTTAAGAATGTGTTTTCTCGAAGACCGTGCAAATGAACGGCTATGACTTGTATGGGGCTTTTCCTTCTGATGACATCGACGACTTACTGGATAAGTTAGACAAAAGACTGTTTTCCTTCACATAATAAATAATTTTCTGGTCTTTGGAAGGATATCACTCATAATATAAAGAGCTGCAGCATGATTCTCTGAAAAGGGAGAACAGAAAACCACTTGTGTTTTAATTTCAGGAGATCAAGCTTACCTAAGATTCAAGTCTTAGCTCTTAGCAAAATGATTTTAGAAATATAAACATTTGTTTTTAATGTTTTCCTACGTACTTGATCTTTAGAAATGACATATATATATACATATATATATATGAAAAAAACATATACACACAAAGGTATATTCCTACCATCAAGACAACAATGAAATTAATGAATTACTCTGAATGGAAAACCAAAAAAGAATATGCTGAAACAATTCAACACCGAAAAGTGGGTGAAAATTTAGTCTTCGGTTCTAATACAAAACAAAACAGCACATGTCTTATCTCTATATTTAATTGTGGACAAGCTATTAGTACCACCAGCCTCATCTAGTTCAGGGAAATTTGCGATGGAGGAATGTTTGTGACTATGTATTTAAATTTGTAACTCAAATACAGTTCAACCCTAGGAACTTAAAAACTTGTAAGAAATTCAAGTAACATGTGAACCACTGAAAAACTGTATTTCTCCACTTTCCCACAGTCTGAGAAGAAAACCTTCATTACTATTTTTATAAATATGTGCAATTAACAACATATCACCAAACTGAGTGGATTCTGATGCAGATTTTTTCCACAATAAATATCCCTCCCCCCAGTATAACTGGAACTCCCTGAAGACATCACTCCTGAACTACAACACCCTCAACCCAGGCGCCCAGCCACTCCTGTCCCTCCACCACCCACCATTCCCCACCCTGTCTGTCATCACACTCATCTTTCTCAAAAAACAAACCTGCTCAGTGGTGGTCTCAGTGGTTGCCAACAAGAAAAGGCCCAAACTTCTTACTGAATATAAGGTTCTTCATGACATCTTGTACCTATTTCTAAAGACTCTTCTTTCACCAATCCCTCACATGTCCTCATGCTCTGAGCTGAGATCCTCACCACAAACCATTAATAACTGCTTCCACACCTTTGCTCATGGAGTATCACCTGCCTAGGTACCTCCTTCTCTTCGGCTTCTGATAACTCCTATGCATCCTTCAAGACCCAGTTCAAAGGAGACCTTGTTTGAGAAGTCTTCTCCAACTATGAGCTTCTCCACCCTCCCTGCTCCCGCAAAAACCTGCATAGACCTTTCATCCTCATTGTAATAATTTTTACATTGAGTCAAATTCCCCTCCAGACAAAGAGTCCTCTCAAACAGCCAGGCCTTACCCAATTTTGAAGCCCCTTAACCCCAGGATTTAGTAGAGTGTCCAATATCTATCTATCTATCTATCTATCTATCTATCTATCTATCTATCTATCTAATCTATCACCTATCATCTCTCTATCCATCCAGCCATCCAGCCATCCATCATCTAGATTTTCATGTCACTGGTATGGTCAATGATATTGTCTATGCTTTTTTTAAATAGAAAACGTTTTGTTTAAAACATATGTCTGTGTGTGTGTGTGTCTGTGTGTGTGTATAAACATCACGAGAAAAATTATGTTTCAATATAAAGAATATGTTTGCACAATAAAAATCTTATTTAAAAAGCTTATTAGTAAAGCGTTAATGAGTCACACATTTTGAAGAAGTGCTTGGACATGTTTTGGCACTTTTCTCACAAGAAATCATCTACCATTAGTCTCTTTCCCAGGGCAGCTCTGACTCCAACCTCTTATCACCTGGCTGGCATCGACAGCCCTCCCAAGGAGTCCATTTCTGAGCCAATTTGTTTTCACTGCCAGATGCTTTCTGGGCCTCCCCACAGGAAGGCCCCTTTTCCTGAATGGGGGGCGGAATTAAAAGGCACCTGCCCCTAACGCTCTCCCCGCCGGCTCGAGGCCTTCTGCCTCGCTCCCAGCTGCTTGGTGGGAGTGACAGGCTGTCCCCAAGACGCACAGGCAGGCCTGACGGTCCCCCCTGGAAACGCCGTGGCCACTGTGTCCAGTCAGGAAGCATCTGACTCTGAAGCCAAAAATGCCTCATATGCTTTTACTGTCCTTGTTGAGAGGAACCTTTTCCATTCTGTGTCCCCATCTTAATCAATACTTTGTTTTCCTTCTTGGAAAACAGTTCCCTTGGCAACCACGACTTTATAGGATCAAACACAACCCGCTTCTGAGACAAACCCTTTTATGTCTTTCTATTACAGGACATTATACTTTAAAATCATTTCACAGCCAACCAGCAGAGATTTAAAGCGACGACGTAGTGAGGTTTGGTCATAGGAATGAAATCTGAGTGCAAAGGTGCTGCTGATGGCACTTGGGAAATCTGATGTTTTAAAATCTATTTTTCCCAAGTAAATGCACACATACAATACACGGGTCGAGGTGCAGACGCTCGGACCTAGTTCCTGGTCTCTCCTTGGGCCGGTGGAGGTGGGGAGGCGGAAGGAGTCGAAAACCGGAGTCCTGCTCTTTCATTCGTGTCCAGCCCTTTCTTCCCGGCCCTCCCCACATGCCGAGAATTCTCCCAGCCTGAAAGGTCGAGCCGCCGGAGATAACTCTGCAATTTTTTTTAAGTGTGCAACTTCTGCAAGATACCACATCAGGATGTTATTTTCTCTAAATAAAATGAGACAAACCTGATAATTTCACGGATGAATCAAAATCTGCGCGTGCCGCAATAGGTCCCAATATGTGCGTAGCGCAGTGAAGGGTCAGGGATATCTGGCTGCTAACCTGACATCGCCACTGGGCGCTAGGAGACGTCGGGACCATGGCGCCTCTCCCGGGAAGGCCACGGGCCTGGCACGCTGCGGCGCGGCGAGGCCACCCGTCCCTCCCTTCTCGTCCCGGGGAGCACACTCGGAAGGCGTGTCATCATCAAGGGCTGAAATTTAATAACTTGTACTGCTTTAATCGAGGGCATTCTTAAGGGAAGTTGATTTTTTATGTTTATTAGCTTGTCATTAGGATTTGCAGCAAGTGCCCGGCAGTGACAAAAGCCAGAAACAACGGGCAGTTTGGTGCCACAGCTTCTATACAGGCTAAGATGCCAGCCGTTTTAGCACCACCCGTGCACATGCGGGTACACAGAATAGAAGCGAGTAACGTTCAGTATGACTCTGGAATAGTTTTCGCCTCATGTTTGGGCTCCCCCAGGTGCTGTGACGCTCTGTGGCCCACACTTTGAGAACGGCTGCTCTACCACAAGAGCACGTCTTGCTGGTGTACCTGGGCCAATGCCAATAACAAAGGACACTCTGGGTACTGAATGATCACCTTAAAAAAAGGCTGATAAACTTGTTTAATTCCTTCCTTTAGTGCAAGAAACGGCTGCTCTAATGGCTGAACTTTCCACTACATTAAACTGTCCAGGGAGGTTGCAAGTAGGAATAAAAAGCCCAGAGGTATTTCCCTCTGTATTTAAAAATCATGAGGAAGAAAACGACTCTTGGATCTTATGTTTAATTCAGATGACAAAGGTCTCCATTAAAAGTGAGGCTCCGTGTCCCGAAGGAAGCAGCATGAGCTCAGGAGTGGGTACGGCTGCAAAGGACGGGCTGCCCAGGCTCCAGGTGCAGAATGCCATGTGTGGCTCACCTGAGTCACTATTATATTTACCCTGTGTACACACACAGCTTTTCTATAGGTTTTGAGTGAACTGCTCCAACCCTATCTTCTTTAGCAGCTCTTGTATCTTCAGAGTAGTGGATGATTTTGCAGAACGTGCCTTTTGCTTTCAGAGTGCACATGTGGTGCCAAAGCAAAAACACCTGCCCTTCCAACAGGCATATTCAGTCCCAACCTGGACGCGGTCTTTCTGCCCACAAAGTATGTTTCAACATCCATGACAACGCCTGAAATTTCTTCCTTCCATATGTGACATAAAAAATTGTAAGCGTCTTGTTAGAGAAGAGCTTCAATCCTGAGAGTAGGAAAGGGGGTGCTGAAGAAGGAAGAGGCATCTGGGAACTTGTATGGAAACACATCCAACTCCAGACCTGGAAGCCCCAGTTCCAGGGGACATGCCCCGCTGTGCCCAGGAGCACCAGGACATAGCCATTCCTGGTCCTACATTCCACCTCTCTGCCCTTCAAAGTATCTTTCCATCTGCTTGCTGGTGTCTGAAATTCCACTAACATGGAATAAAACGCATCGGGTATGACGGCACTTGCTGGACAAAGTGCTGTGTGTTCATGTGAAATACGACTTCCTGAAGGCAGAAGGCATTGATCTACTCAGAGCCTTACCTTTTTCTGCCCTGTATCTGCTTAGGTTAAAGGAGTTTTACTCCAAACCAAGGTATAGCCACACCCCATTATGTGGCAATCCACTCACCAGAAATATGCTATAGCAGACATTAAAAGGCAAGAAACAACTTCACGGTACACACTCAGAAGCTCACAGTAATGGAATTCTGCTGGCAGAGGAAAGGCTTCTGGGAATATATATCAAATTAATTCTCCAGCTGTGCACATATCCCTGTGCCTACAGTAAGATGCAAGTAGCTAATACTGGCATCTCTTTCCCTGCCAGCTTAGAAACTCCAGTGCAATGTAAAATCGCTGCTCCTACCTCCCCCAATTCCT